GAGAGCATAATGCACAGGTATGCAGTGGAACCAGATGAATGTGAGACTATAACTAACAGCTGTCTTCAGAAAGCCTCAAGCTGCTGCTGCTGGATAACTGATGGCTGAGGTGAAGGGAAGAAAGTTGAAGTGAAAAAAGTTTGAAGAAGATGAACCCTATGTGGAAAATGCCCGGCAAGAACAAGTAGGCCATTCAAGCCATTGTGTTTCAGAAGTTGTCACCTCTGACTGGGTGTTAGGAATAAATAACATGCTGTCCTAAGAAGTCTGGCAGTAATTTCTCTATTCTTTTGTTTTTTGTTTTTTCTGAGAAGTTTTTGCTATAGGGCCCGTGCGCTCACCAGAAAGACAGAGAGAGACAGAGAGACAAAAAGCAAGAAATTACTCCACAGGAGGAATGGCCACGCTGCAATCCCTTCTCGTCTATTCTCCTCTCGGGATCTTGGGCATGCACGCACACGTGCCCGGCGTTGAGTTTAAGACACTGGGTCCAGGACTCAAACTGTGGTTGACTACATGGAAGTCCAGTGACATAACCATTATGCCATCTGCTAGTCCCAGTACCTCCTCTATTCTATGTCCTGGAATATACTGAACATTTAATTGACCCTTTGCAATGATATGTTTTTTAACTCTATTGTCTCATATCATCTAATAATAAATATGGCATCTACTTTTGGGCTTCAGAAATGAAAGAATAATTTGGAAATTTAGAATGGTGGGTCAGAGTCAAAGTAATGATTGAAAAAACAGAAATACTTGAAGAAGCTAAAGCAATTCAAAAACATTTTTTGTATCTACAATCTGCAATATTAAAGGAACATGATTTGGAGTATAATTATTCTCCAGATGACACTTAAATGAAATAATACTTTTGAATGATCTAGTAACAAACTTAAAATACAATAAGTTCTGGATTTTCTTCTTTTTCTTATAGCAGTGTTCAATTATACATACTGAATGAATAAAAAAGAAAACTCTGGGACCACTTATCAGTTAGTAATGACCTTAAGATCAGACAGGTTTTTTTTGAGAGATTTTTGCCATAGGCCTGAGTGCTCACCTGAGAGACAGAAAGCAAGAAAACATCCCCCATGAGGGGAGGGGGGAGATAGCTACATGACAATCCCTTCTTTCCACTCTTCTCTTGGGATTTTAGGCACACACGCACATACACCCAGTGTGAGTTTCAAGCCTCTAGGTCTGGGATTCAAACCGTAGTTGACCATGTGGGAGTCCAGTACCTTAACCACTATACCACCTTCTGGCCCTGATCATACAGTTTCTTGTAACTCTTTTTTAAATATTCCTTAAGAAAGAAAAAAATACTGTGTATTATATATTATCATTATTATCATATAAATAATATATATTGGTCATTAAAACAATTTTCCAATACTTGGTTTATGAAATAGTAAGACTGTGGGTCACAGAACTGTTTTCTCTAGTCTGAAAGTAGGGCAGATTCCCGTATGTCAAAGATGGAGTAACTGTGGTTCTGACCAAGGGTAAGAAGAAGCAATGAGATAATCACACAAACCCCTTCCAGGCTAAGGACTGTATAAACATTCTGATTAGTGACTATGCATTGAATATTTACTATTCTTCAGACATTTTTAAAAAATCATCCTAGAATCAGAATATCACAGATTAAAAAAAAAATCTTCTGCCATTATCCCACATGTCATAATTTGGGTTTTCAAAGCCAGAACTACACACTCATCAGGCCAAAATATGAAAAGTAAAAGTAACTAAAGATTTTTAAAAATCATTCAGTGAGTGTAGATACAAACTTCATCTTCTGAATTGTTTAGTTTCATCATGAAAATTACTTTAATTTCAACACTGAAATCAAAACAATCCAATCTTCTTAAAAGAAGTCTACTGTCTACTGTAAAGTAATAACATGTTTTTACAGACTTCTAAGTGCATATCTTGGAATTTCTAACTTAAATGCATGGTTTAGAAAATACCAATTGTTGATTGTGAAAAGCTGGTTACATTTTATGTCAAAAGGCAAAAAATAGAGTACTTATGCTCATTTCTTCTTCCTCGTGTAACTACTGCAAATGACACAAAAATCACATTTTTATAAGATTTGAAAAAAGTTATTAATGATATGTCCATTTCCCAAACAGATTTTAATCCCATATTTCATAAAAATAAATTTTAAAATGTTAAGCATATATTCAGATCAAACAATAGAAATAAATATAAATACAGACTTATTTGGTGCTGAAAAAAATTATCATACTGCTTTACTAAGAAACATAGTAAGATAGTATATGGGTTGAGAGGAAAGAAAAGGTGAAAATGAATCATACTCATAACTAGTTATTTCATAAGCTGATAAGTAATGAACTATTAAAATCTGTATTATGGTATATACTACACCAAAATCATGTGTTTTCTTTTCTTTCTCTTTTTTTTCACAATTGTGGAAATTTTTGCTACAACTCACCTAAAAGATCCTGTTATTAGCATAAGTAACCTCAAATATCACTTAGTTGCTCTTTTTGTCACTTAGTAAAAGAAAACTTGTATAAATACATTCAAAAAATTGAATTTTTAATCACTTTGAAATTTAAGTTTTTCTTAAAAAGAAAAAAAAACATATTTGTAGGTCTATGTTTCTAGCACATCAAAAATTATTCTAAGAAAAATAAAGGTTATATTATTATATTCCAGAAACAAAACTCTAGATTAAGGGCACTATTCCCAAGGTTTTAAGAAGATTTATCATTATCTGAAAATTAGGTGACTAACACAAAATGTCCTTTTGGTCAAAATAATTGTTTAATATTCATTTGAGTAGTAAAATATATGTCTATTAATTGACTGCATATGTTCTATATATGTTCCTTTAACAAGAACTAACAATATGTCTATATGTCTTCTCTTATTCAGTTATACTACCTAGCAAATTATATGAAAATATACACAGAGTAGGAGGGGAATAAAGTATGAAAAAGAGGACTTCAAATCAGTACTTACTTATATATAAACCTTCTCTTTTTATAAATGCTACCACCATTGGTAGGTTTGGAAAAATTAATCATGTGTGTTCTTCAAGTAAGATATTACAATTTAAGAACAAGACCCACTTCATCAAGAAGATGACCAAAATAATTCTCCAATAAAGCAAAAATATATACAACAGCCCATTGCCAGAAAACCAGAATAAGCCCATCCTCTCTACCAGGTAAAGCATATGTTGTCTAGACATGTGGTGTCCATCAAAGGAAAGCTACATCTTTTTAGGGGTAACTTTAATTTGCCAAAGCATTATGCAATAGATTAGGCAAACAAATATTTCACACAGGTAACAAATCATGCAAGTGACTAGTAATTTTCAAAAATCAGAAATTCTCGGTTTATAATGGTGGTTGATGACCTAGCATGTTGTCACAAAATCACTCTGTATGGACTGCCTTTAAGAGTCACTAGCTCCCTTTATTGATATGGCTCTTAGTAAATGGAACTGAGAGGTAGATATCCTATGTTGAAGAGTACTTTAATCTGAAATAAAATATACCCTCCAAAGAAATCTGAACTGGCCTAACTTTTACAGGTAAAGCTGATTTAATTTTATTGAGCTTTTCCTTACACTTCACTATTATACTGGCTTATAACAGTGTATTGTCATTCTTTGTGAACATATATATTAAAGGTGACAGTTTTAGAATAATTTTTACAAAGGGTTCTTGAATTTAGTTACTTTGCATTCTCAAAATACTTACAAATAAAATTATTTTTATAAAAGGCTCTTAAAGATTTCAGCATTTGGAATAATAAAATTAAATAATCAATCATGCAATTTCAGAGTGGGAACTTAGTTTTCCTTAGTAGTATACAGATAGAAGTCAGTAACTCAAAAACTCATTGGTTTATGTACTATAAACATGGTGGTACAATAAATTAAGTTTGACTTTATACATTGCCTTAAGAAATAAATTAGAACTAAGATTAAACCACTTATGCTTCTACCAAAAACATACTGAAAATGTCAAAAAACAACTACAAAAAAATCGCCTATCACCTCAACAAAAATTAAATGACAAACTCACTTTTAAAAGCTCCTTTGTTATGCCATTTGCCTAGAATTAGCTATATGTGTGTGTGTGTGTGTGTGTGTGTGTGTGTGTGTGTGTGTGTCTTATAAACAGTAATTTTAAAGACTCTCTACAGCCAGAGACGTATTTTATCTGGAAACAGCTAGTAACACAATGATCATTTAGCACAAATGCATTTATGTATTCTTCAGCTGACCCACTCTCCATTGCTTTCACACTTGAGGTATGTGTTAGGAGCAAAACTCAGATGTGCCATTTTCTACATTTCTAACTTATAAACAGTAATTTTAAAGACTCTCTACAGCCAGAGACGTATTTTATCTGGAAACAGCTAGTAACACAATGATCATTTAGCACAAATGCATTTATGTATTCTTCAGCTGACCCACTCTCCATTGCTTTCACACTTGAGGTATGTGTTAGGAGCAAAACTCAGATGTGCCATTTTCTACATTTCTAAATCACTGCTGCTAATGAAAGAATCCAAAAAGCACTGTAGATACCTCCAAGTTCTGTCTTACCATGTATGAGCCACAGTGAAGCGACGACGCTGCCGAATGCTTTTATTCACCAGCAACTTTCTGAAAAAGCATGGGGAGTTCCTTGGTGAACTGCGTGGAGAAATTTTAGGAGATGTAGGTCTGTTTCCCGGTAGTCTTGGAAGCTCAAGTTCTAAGTGCATTTGCTCCTTAAAAGTCTTTATGCAAACCTCAGATTCAGAAGAAGTAAGCTCCTTTGAAGAATCTTTTGCTGTCATGTCTCGTATGGAATGCTAGCTCTCACCATCCAGAACAAAAACCTCAAACATAGCAGAGATTGTACTGCAGGTTAGAAGGCTGATAAGTCTGCCAACTATTTCCAGTTTAATTTGAGGAGCTGTGGCTCCAAAATGTGAGCTGCTTAGAGCAAGAGCAGCACACTCGAAGAATGGCAAGTCAGGCTGTCACAAGGAGCTTTATCAGGCTGGCTTTGCTTCTGAAAATGCGCCAAAGTGCTTCCTATGTCAGTAGCCTCCTTGTGGATGAGGTTTGTCTGCAAGCTACACACTGACACTCACTGAATTCATTCAGCTGAATATATCAACTCATGAAATATTCATCAGGGCTTCTGATAAATCCTTTACATGTATATATATTTTTAAAATTCTTATCAAACAAGCTGCATTCACTAATGGATCGTAAGCAAAAAACCTTATCACTCAGTCACTTGTCTTTGTTTGCACAAAGAGCAGAACCCGAATCTGTCCAGCATGTGTAATGTTGAAAGTCTTCATTCAGAATTATCTTGCTCTGTAATGCACACAACAGTAACTAGTAACTCCACCTACCGAATGCCATTGGCCCAGGATTATTTAAACAACTGCTCTCTGTTTCCCCATTAACAACACCCTCCATCGCTCAGATTTTCACAATATTTGTGAGGCTACTGTCCTCACCCCTTTAACAACTGCTAAAGAGGGAATTGTCAAAAAGCCTAGCTAAAACAGCCTTCCTAGTTCCATTTCTGATTAAAAGAACTCATTTGCTGAAGTTTTTTTAAATTTTTTTTCCTTTTTCCCCCTTCCTTCTCCAGAAGATCTAAAACAGCATCAATACAAGAAATGTCAGCACACAGGAAAACATTGGATTTGGTTCATTCCCCCAAGGAATTTAAAGCCTAATCTTTATTCCAATAAACATTACCCTCATTCTTCTGTTTGAGCTCATTGTTCATAGTTACCCGCAGCAGCCAGTCTATGTTAGAAGCAAAGCCACATTTGATGGCTAAAGTTCCCCAAAACTGAAATGAAGGAAACCAGGAAAAAGAAATGCCTCCAATTAAAGGTCAGAGCTCAAAATCAAGACTATGCATGTGTTTGGGTGTGTGTACACAAAGGTAGGTGTACAAGATGTATGTTTGCATGTGGGTATAAATGCTTGATCATGTATGTGTGTGCACATTGTTGGCAAGCAATGAAGTGAGACATATAGACAGGGGAATCCAAAAAATGCCACAAGTCTAAAAGCTGATCACAGTAACATGAGATTTCATTTACAAATAAAATGAAATACCGTTTCTATACTTTGAAAGGCACATGAAGTGGGAAAAATAGTGTGGTGCTTGAAGTTTCTGGATGTTGTGAAAAGTCTGTATTGACCATAATTGCCACCAGGGCTAGTCTGATCTCAAATTTGACAAAGTGGCATTAGAGCTAGTTAGTGGCATAAAGGAATGAGTCACAGCAAAACTTCAGTGAAAAAGGGAGATATTTGGTTTTTCCACTGACATGTGAGGTCTCTTACCTTTATTACATCATTCATATTTGTCTTATTTTGTGGTGAAAATGTCCTGGTGAAAATGTGCTAAAGAGCTAAGTAAGGGCAGACCATTACCTATATGTAGGAATAAAAAGATCCTATACTGGGATCAGCAGAGGGCGTAATGGTTACTTCACTGGACTCCAACATGGTAGACTATGGTTTGAGTCCCAGACCAGGAGGCTTAAAAATGCTGGGCGTGTGTGCATGTGTGCCCAAAATCTCAAGAGGAGAATGGAAGAGACGGATTGCAATGTGGCCAATCCCCTTGGGGGGTGATTTTTTGCTTTCTGTCTCTCTGTTTCTCTCTGCGTCTCCAGTGAGCACACATGCCCTATGCCAAAAATCTCTCTTTAAAAAAAAAGAAAAGAGAAAAAATGATTACATACTGGGCTGGCAGGTGGTGTGGTGATTAAGGTGCTTGACTCTCATGTTGCAAACCACAGTTTGAGTCCTTTACCTGGCTGTTCGCTTTCTCACTTTCCCTCTTTCTGTGTCTCTCTCTCTCTGGTCAAATTAAATAATAAATAAAACTAACTAATTCTTTTAAAAAAATCACATATCAGCACTCGGGGAAGTGGTGCAAACATTGACATAAAGAGTTTAAAGTACCAGTTTATGGGCCAGCAGGTAGTGGGGAGGTTAAGGGCACTGGATCCCATATGGGTGAGCCCCGGACATGCCCTCTGTGTTCGTGTACAAAATACCAAAAGGAAAAATGGAAAAGAAGGGATTGAATCATGATCATCTTCATGGGGATGCTTTCTCATTTTCTCTCTCCTTCTCTCTTTTTCTTTCTGCCTCTCTCTAGTGAGTACACACACCATTTTAGCATATTAAAAAACAAATACATAGAAAGAAATACACAACAAAAAGATAATCAGACTATTTGAAAATTTGTATTACTTATCTCTGAGGGAGAAACATGCAAATTTACAGGCAAATTAATCAGTTTGTTTCCAGAGTCAAAATATCAAAGAAAAATGAGGTACTATGACAAAACTTGAAATCAAAGATGAATCTAAAAGGTAGGAAACAGGAGATGCTATCTAAGAAAAAGTAAGCAAAGGTACAGCAAAAGCAAACACTCTGCCTTATGTTTCAGCAAAGAATACTGGTTTGCGAAGAACATCTAGAACAGAATAATGCATACAGGTTTAAGCACTCTGTGGGGTGCTAATAAATAAAGGAGAAGCTAATGAATAAAAGGAGAACCTTCCCCATTCACACAGGGTCCTTAGCTCTTCACACCACAAAAGGAGAAATGAGTAATTCTCAGTCTTTTACTCAGTTTATAGGTATTTGACCTTGGAAGTTAGTTGAGAATTCTAATTATAACTATGTCTCAGTCTTAAGTAATGAAATTTATGATACCCTCATACTCTCAAACCAATAAAAATCAAGAATTAATCACAATAAAATGCCACTAGAAGATATGAATAGAGTTATATGGTTAATAACAATTAAACAACGCATTTTCTTTATAAATATTAAGCCGAAATTGGAAACATTTTGATTTTCATTACATTGAAAAAGATAGCCAATTAGTGACAATCAAAGAAAACTTAGAACTTCACTGAGAATTTAATAACACTGTTTAAAATATCTTTAAAAGTCATCAGTATTGCACAAAAAAAAGGAAGTCAATAGCATTGTTTTAAAACTATTTTAGATGAAAATATTTATTTTTTGTTATAGCAAATATTTTTCAGATTTTAAATGTTGATCTGAAATAAGATTTGCTGAGTGACTATTTTCAACTGACTGTCATGAAACAAGTATTTTGAAGGCACAAAGCTATACTTTCTGTGGAATAATTTGCCTAGCACAACAATGAACGCAAAATAACACGGTTCCCATTTAGTATAAATCAAAAGCTAGACATAATTTGAGAAGACAGAATTGATTCAGAAGTTACTTTTTTTGTTAATTTATTTATTATCATAATCTTGTTTATATTACATTGAATCATATAACTTTACAGTGTATTACATTTCTTTTACCAGAAGGAATACCATGCATATCAGTCAATATAGAGACATTAAAATCCCCATCTTCAGCACCCAATAGCTTTTCTTTTTTTTCCAGTTATTATTATTATTCCAATTATTTTTTTAAACAGTCAATCATTATTTATCATTTTGCTAGTAAAAAGACTTTACCCAGCATGAAATACTTCTCAGACCAATCCTGTTGAGAAAACTATACATGTCATCATCAACAGGTAATAAACCATATCTGTATCCCACTAATGTCATGCCTCTCTTATTTGTTCTCTTGCTATCTTTCTCTATACTCTTCTCTTCTCCCATCCCATTCCACACTGTCTTATCATTGCTAACTTTTTTTAATTCATTTTTTTTATATTTGATTTTTTTGGAGAGGTCTTTTGCTATAGGGTGTATACACTTGCCAGAAAGACAGAGAGAGAGAGAGAGAGACAGAGAGACAGAAAGCGAGAAATCACCCCCCCCCCCCATTCCATTCTCCTCTCGGGATCTTGGGCACACATGCACATGCGCCTGACATGAGTTTTAAGCCACCGTGCCCGGGACTCGAACCACGGTCAACTACATGGGAGTCCAGCAACACAGCCATTACGCCAACTGCTGGTCCCATCATCGCTAACTATTTTCGCTGCTTTTATGCTCTCCAATATTTCTATCTCTACCATTAGAATGCAGATAGTCGGTATATAGTAAGTGGAAACATACAATATCTTTCTTTCATATCTTGGCTTACTTCATTCAGCAATAGATCCTCCATATCTGACCCCTTTCTATCAAAAGCCTGGGTTTTACAGTTGTGTTTTTTTTTTTTTTTTTTTTTTTTTTTTATGGCTGAGTAGTATTCCAGAGTATATGTGCCACACTTTTTCAATCCATTCATCTGTTTGTGGACATTTGGGGTGGTTCCATGTCTTGGCCATTGTGAATAATGGCTACAATAAACAGTTATGGGCAAGCGCTTTTCTGACTGAGCGTTCTCCTGTCCTTTGGGTAGATATCCAGAAGTGGGATTGCTGGGTCAAACAGTAGTTCTATTTGTAGATTTTTGAGGAACCTCCATATTGTTCTCTGCAGGGGATGAACCAGTTTATATTCACACCAACAGTGTAGGAGAGTTCCCTTTTCACCACATCCCCACCAACACATACCACTTTTTTATATTTTGAATCTTTGCATTCTGACAGGGGTTAGGTGATATCTCATTGTGGTTTTTATCTGCATCTCCCTTATGATGAGGGATATTGAGCATTTCCTCATATACTTTTTGGCTGTTCATATGTCTTCCTTAGAGAGATTTTTGTTCAGCTAATTTTCCCATCTTTTCATTGGGTTATTTTTTTTTAAGGTGTTTTAGTTCCCTGTGTATTCTGGTTATCAATCCCTTGTCTGAGGCATATTTTACAAAAATATTCTCCCGTTCTGAAGGTTGTCAATTCATACTTGTTACTGTGTGCTTTGCTGTGCAGAAACTTCTTAGTCTGATATAGTCCCACTTGTCTATTTTAGAGATTATTGCCTGTGCTTTGGGAGTCTTAGTTCAGAAGTCTTTGCCTACTCCAATGTCTCCCAGAGTTTCCCCAGCATTTTCCACCAGTAGTTTTATAGTTTGAGGTCTTAGGTTCAGATCTTTGATCCATTTTGAGTTGACTGTTGTTAATGGTGAAAGATGGGGGTTCAGTTTCATCTTTCTGCAGGTGGATATAGTTTCTTCTTTCAGCAGGTGGATACCCAGTTTTTCCAGCACCATTTACTAAAGAGGTTTTCCTTTTCCCAATGGACTGATTGATATCCTTTGTCAAAAATCAGTTGGCTGCAAGCTTTGGGGGTTATTTCTGGGGTCTCTATTCTATTCTATTGGTCCACATGTCTGTTTTTGTGCCAAACCATGCTGTTTTGATGATCACAGCTTTATAGTATATCTTGAGATCAGGGAATAATATGCCTCCCACTCCACTCTTCTTGTGCAGGATTGCTTTGGCAATACGAGGTCTTTTATGATTCCAGATAAATTCTATGATTGTCTTTTCTAGATCTGTGAAGAATATTTCTGGTATTTTGATTGGAATTGCATTAAACATGTAGATTAATTTGTGTAGAATTGCCACTTTGATTATGTTAATTATTGCAATCCAGGAACATGGGATGTCCTTCCACTTTTTTATGTCACTTTCAATATCTTTTTTAAGATGTTCATAGTTTTCTTTATAAAAGGTCTTTGACTTCCTTAGTTTGGTTTATCCCTAGATATCTTATACAACTTGTGGCTATGGTGAAAGGGATTCCTTTCTTCAGCTCTACTTCGTTCAACTTGTCCATTTGTAGAAATGCTATAGATTTTTGGGTGTTGATTTTGTATTCTGTCACTATACTGTATTCACTTATTACTTCAAGAAGTTTTTTTCATGGAGACCTTTGGGTCTTCTAAGTATACCATCATGTCATCTGTAAATAAAGATATTTTCAACTCTTCTTTGCCTATTCAAATGCCTTTTATATTGTTCTCTTTTCTGATTGCATTAGCTAAGATTTCCAGCATTATATTAAAGAGCAGTGGAGAAAGTGGGCAGCCTTGCCTACTACCCATTTTTTCCCCCATTCAGTATAATGTTAGTTGTAGGTTCTTCATAGATGGCTTTTACTGTGTTGAGAAATGATCCTTCTATATCAATCTTACTGAGGATCTTAATCATGAAAGGATGTTGTATTTTATCAAATGCTTTCTCTGCATCAATTGAAATGATCATATGTTTTTTTTTTTATCTTTCTCTCTCTTAATATGGTGTATTACATTTATGGTCTTGCGTATGTTGAAAAAAAATATGGAACTCTTCATGAATTTGTGTGTCATCCTTGCACAGGGGTTGTGCTAATCTTCTCATATCATTCCAATTGTAGTATATGTGCTGCCAAAGTGAGCACCAGAAGGTACTTCTTTAAGTGTAGACTTAAGACCATAAATATCGATAGAGTTAAATTATTGTTAATTGTGTCTTTACTTCATTATTTAGGTCCATTTTTTTTCTAAAACAATATTCTATCTGTATTAATTAATAGCTACTACTTTGTTCAATTAAACATGACACCAAGTTCTTTCCATTGAAGACAAGGTAAAAAATGGGTACAGAAGAACCCAAACAGCCACAGCGTCTTCCAACAGAATATGCTGTTACACAACAGCATATAGCAGTAGATATATCATATATAACTTTACCACCCAAGTTGCAACTTCTTTCAATTTTTCTTTTCTTCAAAATAATTATTTTATTAAACTTTATTTATTTATGATTTTCCCAGAGAGGGACAGAGAGAGAAAGAGAGAGAGTGAGAAAGCAAGCCATCAGGTCCGGGTCTTGAACCATGGTCAGCCATGCAGGAGACCAGTGCCTTTAACCACCATGCTACCTGCTGGCTCTTCAATTTTTCTATTCAAGTTTTAAGAAATGGAACTAGAAAATTAGCCTAATACAATTTTTAAAAAGATCATATCCAACTGAATAAAAATGATTATCTATCTACCTTGGAAAGAACAAATAACTGACAACTCTTAAGAATAAAGGAATTAGGGACTAGCAGGTGGTTTGGTGGGTAAGGCACTGGACTACTACATGACTGACCATAGTTTGAGTCCTGAACCAAGTAACTTGCTTTTTCTCTCGCTTTCTCATAAGTACATGAGCCGTATAGTAAATTTTAAAATAACAATAATAAATAAAATTTTAAAAAAGAATAGAGGAATCATAGTGATATATAAACTTCATATCTACTGAGTGCCAAATATATTGGTAAGCATTTCTAATAAATTATTTCATTTTACTCTTACAGAAATATCAGACAAGTACTTTTGAAGTCCCTTGTTTTACTTCTCCACAGTATTAACTAAAGATCCTTTAGGTCTGGGCCAAATATTGTGCAATACTGTATTTCTAAACTATAGACAGAGTCAAGTACAGGGTAGATAATAAATATTCATAAGCTACATGTGCCTTATGTCCATTTTAAGATAAGAACCTTAAGACACAAAGTCACATAGATTTTAAGGAGTTGATCCAATAACCAAACCCAGATAACTCACTTTATATATAACTTGTTTTGTTATCTTACACCAGTGCCACCCAAGCTTCTCATTATATAACATCTAAGGCGACAGAAAAGAGAATGCATGCTCCCAGGTGCTCTACTCATATTGCTGCAAGTTTACCTTCACGAGTACTAAATGTCCATGAGTATAAAGCTATCTAGAATGTTATCTTTATAAAACGATATGAATGCTTCACTTTTAGACCTATGATGCTACTAAATTACTTATCATCATTAGTAAAGTGTGCTCCTGTAAGATCAGTTTTAACCTGAACTACTTGGTAATGTCTCCTGAATCCAAGAATGGAGTTGGGAAGTTGTACCTTACCTGCTTGACTATGGTACCATATGATTTTTAAGAATTGTCTATTCAAGAAAGAACTGCCCCACACAAAGCCCTCCAATGATGCCTCATCATTCAGCGTAAAAGCCAAAGTCTGTCTGATGGCTTCAAGTGCTCTGTCTGAGTCTTTCCTGTCCCCATCTGCAGTACCTCTCGGACTTCTTCTCCTACCTAACTTTGATCCTGCCACACTGACCTCCTTTCTGTACATTCAGTGTATTGTGCAAGTTTCCCTTTCCCCAAGATATTTGCATGCTTTTTTTAAATTTCCTTCCATTGTTTACCCACATATCACTTGCTTGATGAAGTCTTCCATAATCATCTTGCTTAAAAAAAAAATCAGTCTCCCTCATTCTGCTTTTTATCACCCACAGTACCTGCCAGCAGATAATATAGTAAATATTAATTAATTACTTATTTATCTGTTCAATTCCCCCTAGAATTTAAATTTCATGAGGCAAAGGACTTTCATTTTGTTTATTCCTACAGTCCCCACTCCCAGAACAATGCTTGTCACATAGTATTTAACTACATATTAACTGAATGAATAAATGATCCCTTCAATGCAGAATAAGATGGGAGAAGGGAATCCAACAAAAATGGAATAAACTACCTCTTTCAAATTAGAGCAAGAGCTATAGTGGCTTAAGCAGTAACCTTTTCAAAATGTTGTATATTATTTTATGGAATTTTCACTGCCTGGGTGTTATTTTTCTGTTTTCTTTGCCAAGAATACTATGTATCATCCATTAAGGTTAAATTTGAAGGGAAATTCTTCAGTGAGATCTTTCCCAACTTCCACAGGCAGAATCAGCCATTTCATCCCATCTGTTCTCCAACAACACTGATAAATTCCTCAGAAGATTTCATAGTATATCATAGTACACATTTTTGTTTGTCTTTTGGCTTAATCTATGAACACTTCAAAGGCGTAAACTATTGTATTCAGCTTGGTATCTATAGAGTTGATGTTACATCCTGATTGATTAACATGTATTGATTAAAAGTATGAATTAAAAATGAATTTAATGCCCTCCTATTATCCTATTAGCCCTGGATTTTTCTTACCATTTTGAAAGCTTTTCCCATCAATACCCGAACTTCATATATATATATAATATATATATATATATATATATTATATATATATATATATAAAGGATTATTTTATCTAACTTTATTTATTTATTTGACCAAAGAGAGACAGAGTAAGAGAGTGAGAGAAAGAGAAAGAAAGTGAGAAAGCAAGACACCAGGTCCAGGAATCGAACTGCTGTCGGCCATGTGGGAGCCCAGCACCCTTAACCACCACACCACCTGCCAGCCCCAATAACCTAACTTCTTATATTTGAGCTTGCAAAAGACTCCAAATTGAAACTTCCTAAGACATAGCTTTTTGTCTATGCTTACTATTTTAACTAAATTTTTGTTTTTTATTTTAAACCTGTATTATTATTATTAATATTCACATCTTCAATGCAATGCAAAAGCAGAAAACCATTGTGTTGTATTTTCTACTCATTAGGTGTTGTACTGGTAAGGTAGATTTGCCAAGCTCTTCCTGCACAGTGCTTTCTGGTTTTGTCAGAGTAATTAGGTGCTTCTTTCACAAGCCCCATTCCATGAAGGCAGATTACATAGAATGAAAATACTAAGGAAGTTCCTCTCTTTGTTTCCTAGGTCATTGTTAACATCAGGATATATTAGCAAGGATGAGTCAGATACCTAAATGTAAGGAGAGAAACTGTTCCCATGGTAGATGTTTTAAAAACATCATTAAAAGAGGGTTCTCCTGTTCCCAAAGATAATACTAACCTGTCAGGAAATTACCTAAAATGGTGATTTCAAAAGAATAAAATACTAGGGACATACATGTTAGAAACAAAGGCATGTTTGAGAAAACCTCTCTCTTTTTAAAATGAGTTTTTTCTTTTTATTATTTTCTACTCTATCAGCAGTCTTTCCATGAAATAGGTAAGAAAAAAAGGTATAAGTAGTCTACAGTTTAAAATTTTAAATGTAAATAATTAGCTATGTAAGTCTAATGAAGACTGATACTACAGAGATAATAGAAAGGGAACAGCTCACATGAAAATTAAGTCAAATCTCCACTGCACTTAAAAAAAATAATATTCAGAGATTAATTTTGTGTTTAAATATATATTGTAAGCTATTTTAAAAAACAATATATTCTTTTTTAAAAGATGTATTTTATTTAAATTTAATTAACTAATTAATTCATCTTAATTTGACCAAAAAGGGACAGAGCGAAAGAGAGAGAGAAAGGGAAAGTGAGAGAGCAAGCCTCCAGGTCCAGGACTTGAACTATGGTCAGCCATGTGGAAGTCCAGTGTCCTTAACCGCCACACCATCTGCCAGCCCCAATAAAGAATATATTCTTAAATTAATATTTAAATATTGTGAGTTAAAAGGGCACAGAATATATATTAATATGGGGAATGCTTCAAAATCAGCTTACTTAATTTAAACTTATTTTTTCATACATATTCTGTTAGTTCTAAATCCATTGATATTATATATTTTTAATTCAGTAACATTAATGTTGATGGATTGTTGTATTATAAGAAAATAGAATTTTATCTATTAAGACTGGCTAAGATTTCTGTAATTAAAAATAACTTTCAGCAGCCAATTGATCTTTGACAAAAGGTACAAGACAATGGAGCTGCAGTAGAGAAAAGAAAGAATTGCATATCCAATTGGATATCCATCTGCTGAAAAATGAAACTGGACCTTTACCTCTTGTAGTAACAAAAATCAACTCAAAATTGATCAAAGATTTGAATGTAAAACCTTAAACCACAAAACTACTAGTAGAAAACATAGGAGAAACTCTTGAAGGCATCAGAGGAGGCAAAGATTTCTTAAATAAGACCCTAAAATATAGGGTCTTTGATATGCCAAAAATTGACCAGTGGGATCTCATCAAACTCAAAATCTTCTGTATGGCAAAGGAAATAACAATTAGAGTGAAGAGACAACCTTCAGAATAGAAAATATTTGCTAACTATGCTTCAGATGAGAATAACCAGATTATATAGTAACCCACAAAAAAAAAAAAAAAAATCATCCAATTAAAAATGGGCAAAGGAGTTGAAAAGACGATCTCTTTAAGGAAGATATACAAATGGCCAAAAAACATAGAAAACTATGTTCATCATGTCTTATCTAAGGGAAATGCAAATCAAAACCACAAAGAGCTACCATTTAAATCCAGTCACAATGGTTAAGATTAAAAAAATACAGAATGATAAACACTGGCAAGGCTGTGGTGAAGAGGGAACCTTCCTATACTGTTGGTGGGAATGTAAATTAGTAGTCATTGTGGAGAACAATATGGAGGTTCCTCAAAAACTTACAATTAGCCTATGGTCCAGTAATTCCATGAATATCTACCCAAAGCTCAGGAAAACACTCATTTGGAAAGATACTTGCACATCCAGGTTTATTGCAGTATTATTGACAATTGCTAACACATGGAATCAATCAAAATGCCCAAGAACTGATGAATTAATTGAAAAACTGTGGCACATATACACTATGGAATACTACTCAGCCATAAGGAGCAACAAGTCTCTGCCATTTGAATTAAAGTGGATAAATTTAAATTTAGTACTAAGTGAAGTAAGTTAGACTATGAAAGAGAAACATTTATATTGTCACTCAGTATACAGTCTGCAAAATTAAAGATCTGGAGAATAATAGTAGGGAGGACAGGTTCAGATACCAGAAACTAGGTGGGAGAGGAGAGAATGGTAGAGGGTGAGTGGGAGGGCCTCAGGGAAAATCTCTTATCAGATACAACATTGCAAAGTTCTCTGTTGAAAAAGATGTCTATGGTAAGATCGCTAATTTGCTTATCACATACTGAATGCATTCCTTGAAAAACATTGCATGCTATAGAGGTGTACAATGATTGAATGCAAATAAATCATAAAATAAAGAAAAAAATATATACATGGCATATTCCTGTGACTCCTTTCTAATGAACTCCAATGTCTTTCATTTATATTTTTTTGTTTGTTTGCTTGAAATGCATTCTTGGCTAATGGAACCTTTAAAAAATTACCTTGAAGCCTCTTTTCTCTTTCAGTGGGTCCTGAACCTAGTTTTGTGGAATTGAGGGCCTCTCTGCTATGCCCCATTGAATTAGCTTCCTGGTTATGACATCAGGCAACTCTGATGCATAAAGAAACATGTCCCAAATTGAACACATTCTTACAATGCAAGAAATTTGACTTTTTGGTGCACTCTTCAATAAAATATAACACACAAGTAGACTCATGTAATCACCATCACAATCCGGACATAGAATAGTTCTATCACTTCCAAAAACCTTTCTTTCACTACATATTTACAGTCAGACCCTCACTCACCCCTAATCTCTGACAACCCCTCACAGGAGTGTTGACAATACCACTATTGTATTGTTTTTTGAACAATGCCATATAAATGGAATCATACAGAGCTTACCCTTTGAGACCAGCTCATTTTACTCAGCACAGTACCTCTCCAGTTGGACCAGTATGTTACATTATTACCAGTTCATTCCTTTTTGTTGCCATTTCATTGTATGGATGTGCACAGTTTTATTCATTTGCCAATGAAGAATAGTTAGGGCTCTTTCCTGTATCCTCCGATGTCCGTCATCTTTATTATAAAATGTTGAATCATTTTCCAGAATAATTGTATCATTTTGCATTTCCTCCAGCAACCTATGAGCATTCTAGTCACTTCACATATTTGCCAGCATTTCTTTTTGTCAGTATTTTTTGACATTTTACCCATTCTAATAGATGTGTAGAGATATCTCATATTGGTATAAGTTTAAATTCCCCTAATAGCTAATGTTGATCATGTTTTCAAGTATTTATTTGCTAACTGTGTATCTTCTTTGGTGAAGGATCTGTTCAAAATTCTTACCCATTTTGAAATTGGGTTTGTTTTCTTACAATTGAATTTCCTTCTCCTGTATGCCTACTAGTATTTACTTTCCAGAATTCTCAAATAGCTACTTCATGCATACTGTCCAGGACTTAAACCTGTATTTAGTGCTAGATACAGGATGCCACTATCTACTGTACAGAAGAATGTCATGGATCAATGTTAAGATATTAATCCTGGGGACCAGCAGTTAGCGTAATGGCTATGTCGCTGGACTCCCACGTAGTCGACCGCGGTTCGCGTCCTGGACCCAGTGGCTTAAAACTCATGCCAGGCACATGTGCATGCGTGCCCAAGATCCCAAGAAGAGAATGGAGGAGAAAGGATTGCGGCATGGCCATCCCCCCTGGGAGGTGATTTCTTGCTTTCTGTCTCTCTGTCTCTCTCTGTCTGTCTGTCAAGCACACGTGCCCTATAGCAAAAACCTCTTAAAAAAATATATTAATCCTGGATGTTAATATTTAAATTAGTATAGAGATATTAATCCTATCTTGCATAGAATCAGAAACTTCAATAAAATAATATCAGTCACAAAATTCTGAAATTTAAAAATTAGTTCTATAATTTATAATCCTTTTACTCTATCAATTCTCTTCCCGAATTCTTCAGCATTTACAATTTTGACTTTGCTGTTTCCTTCATCTGTGGGTTTTATGTTGTGTTTTAGACCATACGGAGTGGATCTCTAAAGCTCACTCTTGCTGTAATTAATCTTCAGTGCCACAGGGAAGTACTATTACTAAGGAATAGCAGAAGGTTTGAAGTCTTTTGAAGCTATTCAGAGAGAAAGCTTTCTAGAAGGGACAGTGGGTGACTCTTAATCTTTATCTCCTGACCACTCTCCCCAACAACAGTCCCCTTTCTCCACTGTGGGCTGTGGTGAATGAATACCTGCTAACACTGTGATCTAAAAGGAACAGGATCTTTTTGCTTCTCCCTCTTGTTGGTATATTTCTACTATGGACTCCCACGTAGTCGACCGCGGTTCGCGTCCTGGACCCAGTGGCTTAAAACTCATGCCAGGCACATGTGCATGCGTGCCCAAGATCCCAAGAAGAGAATGGAGGAGAAAGGATTGCGGCATGGCCATCCCCCCTGGGAGGTGATTTCTTGCTTTCTGTCTCTCTGTCTCTCTCTGTCTGTCTGTCAAGCACACGTGCCCTATAGCAAAAACCTCTTAAAAAAATATATTAATCCTGGATGTTAATATTTAAATTAGTATAGAGATATTAATCCTATCTTGCATAGAATCAGAAACTTCAATAAAATAATATCAGTCACAAAATTCTGAAATTTAAAAATTAGTTCTATAATTTATAATCCTTTTACTCTATCAATTCTCTTCCCGAATTCTTCAGCATTTACAATTTTGACTTTGCTGTTTCCTTCATCTGTGGGTTTTATGTTGTGTTTTAGACCATACGGAGTGGATCTCTAAAGCTCACTCTTGCTGTAATTAATCTTCAGTGCCACAGGGAAGTACTATTACTAAGGAATAGCAGAAGGTTTGAAGTCTTTTGAAGCTATTCAGAGAGAAAGCTTTCTAGAAGGGACAGTGGGTGACTCTTAATCTTTATCTCCTGACCACTCTCCCCAACAACAGTCCCCTTTCTCCACTGTGGGCTGTGGTGAATGAATACCTGCTAACACTGTGATCTAAAAGGAACAGGATCTTTTTGCTTCTCCCTCTTGTTGGTATATTTCTACTAATTCATACATCCTCGAAACATATCCTTACTCATAGAAACTATGTGCCAAGAATATGATTCTCATTTTCTTTGGTAAGCCTGGGTTGTAGCTTGAGGTTTACATATTTGTTACTAAACATGAAATCACAATTTTAAAAAGCTTTATGTAATAGTTATTATAGTTGTGATTTCACCAACTTTTCCACATAACCATGCTATCAATTAACCTTTTGTGCTTATTTTGCATTTGGTGAAACTTTAGTCAATACATACATAATAAACACTCCTTGGCATGAAAGTATACTATTTGGGAAAGTTATGACCTTAAACTTATGATTATCTTCTTGTATTTATGTACCTCACCAAAATCATAACAACAATTTTTAAAAGTTCTATACTCTTAGAGAATGAAGACCACAATTTATTACTTTAATTAAAAATATTTATTTCATTTCATTTGTTATTATTTTTTAATTTGACCAGAGAGAGAAAGAAAGAGAAAGTGAGGGAGCAAGCCGCCAGGTCTGGGACTTGAATCGCGGTCGGTCATGTGGGAATCCAGTGCCTTAACCACCACACCACCTGCTGGCCTCCACAATTTATTTTTTATGTGTTAATATCATTATCTAAAACTCTTTTCTATATACAGAGAACACTCTGTACATGCTAAATGAATGTTTAAAGATACAGGAATATGAATCGACATTATTCATTTATTCAGCTGGTATCAGCTATGAGTCAGGCACTGTGCTAGTCTTGGAAATATTACAATGAATAACCTGTATTTATTCTTCCCTTATGGTACTCAATCTAATGACAGAAATATTATAGTCATATTCTAATCGTAATTCTAAACCTGTTTGCCTCTTAATTCCCTTGCTCACACCAAAAAATGCAAACAAGCAAATGTAAAACTTGTTTGGGGCTAGCCTGTGGCATGGTGGTTAAAGCAGCTAGCTTCCCCATGGCTGACTTTGGTTCAAATCCAAGACCCAGAAGCTTGATAAACATTCCAGGTGTGTGTTGCGTGTGTGCCCAAGACCGTAAAAAGAAAGAGAAAAGGAGAAGGAATTGTCACATTACCATTCTCCATGGGAGATGCTTTCTCATGTTCTCTCTCTCTCTCTCTCTCTCTCTCTCTCTCTTTCTCTCTCTCTCTCTCTCTCTCTCTGATTCTCCCCAGCAAGTACACATGCCCTATAGTGAAAAAACTTAAAAAAAAAAAAAAGCTCATTTCACCTGTCCTTGAATTCTAAATGAGACACAGAGGAGGCTCTGCATAGCTTTAATAGTAAGTAGTAGATAATTTTTCTCTGTATTGAACCAAAAATCTGTATCCTGGTAATGTCCTCCCAAGGATTTCTAGTTCTACCTGGAATGACAACGAAAAACACATACTGCCTCTCAAAGATGTGTTCTCTACTATTTTTCTTTTTGGTTCTAAATAACTACAGCTCTCTCAACTATGTCTTATAAAACAGACTAGGTAATTTTTATAATACTTAGACTACACCTCTGACATACACAGGATATATTACTTTTTCAGGGCTGCTATAACAAAGTACAGAAGTCTGGGTGTTTTAAACAACAGGAATTTATTGTTTCACTATGCTGGAGGCTGAAAACACAAAATCAAAGCATCAGCAGGATTGGTTCTTTCTTTTGAGAGTTTTTGTTTTTGGTTTTGTTTTGTTTTGTTTCGTTTTGTTTTGTTTTGTTTTTGCTATAGGGTTCGTGCGCTCGCCAGAAAGACAGAGGGAGACAGAGACTGAAAGCGAGAAATCCCCCCCCCCCGCCAGGGTGGATGGCCACGCTGCAATCCCTTCTCCTCCATTCTCCTCTCGGGATCTTGGGCACTGATACACATGCCGGGAGTGAGTTTAAGCCACTGGGTCCAAGACTTGAACTGCAGTTGACTACATGGGAGTCCAGCAACATAGTCATTATGCCAACTGCTGGTTCCATTCTTCCCTTATCTTAAAAATAATGTCTGTCTGGGGACCAGCAGTTATATAATAGCTATGTCGCTGGACTCCCATGTAGTCAATCGCAGTTCAAGTCCCAGACCCGGTGACTTAAAACTCACGCCAGGTATGTGTGCGTGCTCGCCCAAGATCCTGGGAAGAGAATGGAGGAGAAGGGATTGTGGTATGGCCATCCCCCTTGGGGAGTGATTTCTCGCTTTCTGTCTCTCTGTCTCTCTCTGTCTTTCTGGAGAACGCACACACCCTATAGCAAAAAATAAAAATTAAAAAAATAACGTCCATCTGTAGCTAGCTACCTCTATCAATCTATTTCCTGCCAGAGGAATTTCAGAAGTTTGATAGTCTTCTTTCATCCCATCTCTGCCCTCTTCAATGTAAGCTGGAAACATTTCTGCTGAAATGATTCTCAAAAATCTTAACTTGCCTCCAGTGCGAATTCACAGGGGTCCAAGAGGGTCCTCCACAGATCTTTCCAGATAACTACATTGCTATTATAGGCTTTTGCTGAGATGGTTGATTGGATTTGTGAGGTGCAAACCTAATCTTTTTAGCAAAAATTTGACCAGCCACACCCTTGACCTTGTCTCAAGAACATGCTTGCTTTTATATCTTGCAATATGGACTAAGTTGAGAATGTTCCAAATCTTCAGGCTCTGGTTAGTTTTTGCTTAACAGTTCTTCAATTTATCTCTCTTCTCTTACATTTTATTACAAGCAGCGGAGAAACCAAGATGTTTCTGCAGTGTACTTCATTTAGAAATCTCTCCTGTTAAATATCCAAGTGAATCACTTTTAACCACTTTTACCATTGATGAAAAAACTAAAACACAATTTGACAAAGTTCCTTTTCACTTTGTGACAAGAATTACTTTCCCTCCAGTTTGCAGTAAGATTTTCTTCATTTCCATGTTCGACCTTATCAGAAGCACCTATAATAACACTTGTATTTCTACCAGTACTCTCCTCAAGGTGATCTAAACCTTTCTTTCAAGCACTTTATGTCTCTTCCAGACCCCATCCATAGCTGAATTCCAAAGCCACTACCACATTTCAAAGTATTTGTTACAGTATCACCCTGGTACTACTGGTAGTATCACAGGCCTGGAGGCTTAAAAACAGAAACGTACTGCCTCATAGTTCTAGAAGATGGGTGTCCAAACATTGAGTGTAGGCGAGGCTGGTTCTTTCTGAGAGCTGTGAAGAAAGGATCTGTTCTGGACTTCTCTCAAGGAAAAGGCATTAGGAGAAAGAGAACCATTTGAGGAATAAGATATAATAATTTGTATTTATTAAGAGTTTATAATATGCCAGACACTTACATGCATATTATTATCACATTATCAAATTTCAATACCCATTGGAAGTCTACATATCTTATAGATGAAAAAACTGAACTACAGAAATGTTATATTAATGACCCAAGGTCAATCAGTTAGTAAGGATTGGAACCCAAAGCCATTCAACTCCAAGATTTATGCTACATCATTGCAAATTTTAAAAAATGAAAGCAAAACCTAGGTATGTTCTAAATATAAACCACTGTATTAAACGCTTATTAACTCTCACTATGTTATATCCTAAGACTAGAATTGGTTCTTTATAACTATCATCTATTAGGACAATACAAAGTAATTTGATATTTCAGGACAATGCAAAGTAATTTGAATACACACAAAAAGTTAGTTTTTTTGGTAGGCAGTTGGTTAGTAATGAGCGGGCAGCCCTAGGAGAAAAGCGAAAGGGCATTTTGGTCAACGCCCTAATTCCCACTAGGGCAATAAACTAATTGGGCAGTCTAATTAAAACAACCTGGCTCACATTGGGCCTGCGCAATTAGGTAATCAAAATCCTCATCTTTTACCTGTGAGAAAAGTACACAAGTGCAGGAGAAAATGCGGCGATTCCAATTCAAATGAAGGACATAGGTAGGGTAACAGACCTTCCACCAACGAATATTAATGACCTCTAGTAGTAAAAAATAACACTTAACCAGTACCAGTACCAAATGCAGTTGCCACCTGGCAATCTGCCCGCCCAAGAGCCTTTTGGGTGCACTTAATTTCTTTCCTATTAAATCTTCTTTCCTACCTACTTCATTTGTGGTTGCAGTTTCTTTGGGACAGATCTCTGATTTTAGTGATCTGGACCCAAAGAACCAAGGACTTCACAACGCAGCTTGACACTTTCTCATCCGTTGACAGTTTCACCCAGATAGGAAACTAACTTCTCTTTAATAAGTTATATTTATTTTTTGATCATATTGTCTGAATGCACTCTTATCAGTCGGTAGCCAACTCTGGGAGAGAAGATATTGGCTTAATGTGTCTTAGCATGTTCATTCATTTGTGGCTCAAGGTCAGAATTTATTTGACCTTCATATGCTAAGATTTAGACAGTTTTCTCTTGGACCTCCTTTTCTTTCTTACACTAAATATTATAGATTGAAATTACCCCCTGTAATTCTATTTCTAGCCTTGTTTACCTTCTAATAAATACTCCTGAGATTTGTGTTTTGGGATTTCTTGGTCAGATACTTGATTCTCTTGGCTATTGTGACTACAAATAGTATTTTGGTATGAAATCTCTACTGATTTTGCAAGCTCCAGGCTGGTATTTTAAACTGTTTAATTTGTACTTCATAAGCTATAATTGATATTTTAATTTTATTTTTGGTAATTTAGAAATTTGAGAGTCAGGAAACTAAAACCTTACTGATAACACTTTATTGTTTAATCTCTTTAAGTTTTTCTACTTTTTCTGCATGTAGATGCACTTTTAGAAGATATTCCAAGGTGCCACTTCCAACCCAACTGCCCTTTCCTGTCTGCCCAGCACCATTTCGGGGTTCAATTTTTGTTGTAACATATTGGGATTTCATTGATACAGTATCCATTAAAATAAATGGACAGTGCTTGCTGCACACTGAAGCCAAAGAAAATTTCTTCTGCATCGAATTATGGACAGACGCAAAGTAAAGCATACTGAGAACACAAATGAGAATCAAATGAAAAGAAAAGGAACACTGGCATCCTCCCCCCTTTAAAACAACTGATTTATATTCTAAAATCACAGCCTATGATTACAGTTGTAGATTCCATCAGGTTTTTTTTTTTTTTTTTTTTTTTTTGGCAGCTAAGAAAATGTGCCTCTTAAGGCAGAGATCCAAATTTCTGAATCGTGACAGTAACAGCTGAAGACTAAAGATAGACAGTCAAAACACCATTTTCTGTACATTTTCAGTTGTTAAAAAAGCAGTTACAGTACACTGTGTATGAAGTATATTGTTTTAACCCTGTGAGGGATCTACTGGGAAAATGATTTAAGACAGAGAAATATTTTAAGCCCTTATTATACACACATAGTTTTTCTTAAATGCTGAAGGTTCTTTTTCTTAATATAATAATTCCAAGTATATTTTATACAGATGTGCATAATCATAATCCACCAGACATTCCTATTGCAAGTGAATGTTGGATTTACACATGATCCCTATTACATGGCCAAACACACTCAGTCTTCAGAGACAGTTAGCTTTTATCTCTGCCTGGAAAGCTTTTTCTCTAGAGCTTTCTATGGTTCCTTCCTTTATTTCCTCCAAATACTCATTCATGTTATTTCCTTGGAGAGACTCTCCCTAATGAGTTTATGGAAAACAGCGCCCTACCTTCCCTCTCCCCTTACTGAGCTTTATTCTAACAGCTTCTATCACTCTCTGACATTGCTACTGTCTGACATCCTCACTAAAATAAAAGCCCCATGAGGACAGAAATATTTAATGCTTTATTTACCACAAAAACTCCAGTACCTAAATCAGTCCCTGCCATATTGCAGGTGTTCACTAAAGGTCTGCTTAATAAAGAAAGGTCATCAGAAGTAGAACTGCAAGAGCATTCACCCTATGGTCCCATTAAGCACCACCTGCCTCATTCTGTCCCTTCAACTATGTTCTTAAGCAAATTCATTTTTGTAGTCACTGAGAAGAGATGCTAAAAGACAAAGGTGGAAAGACAGGCCCCAGGCAAGGATAACCCTTATCTTGAATTCACCACTACTGATGGCCTTCCAGCCACTACTCCTGTTGTACCATTGAAAGCTCAACGTTGCATAAGCAGAGGAATACTGTAATTCTCTATTCCTTGGCAGGACCACTTCTTGCTAGACAGAAGGCAAAGCAGACATGAACTTGTGACCTTCTCAATAGAGTAGCTGCACCACCACCCAGCAAGATTCGCTCTTTCAGATAGCACAATGGTAACACTGTGTACCGAGAAATGATTCACAGGAGAAACAGGAGCTCCGCCAAAGGCAGGAAGGCAATCTGTACAGAATACTATAAGCTGAGAGGGCTTTCTTTTCATTTCAAAATGAGAAGCAAGCAGCTAGGGGGATGGTAACTGCACAGGCGACATTACGAATCCCTTAGGTAGAAGACCCAGGATCTGTGAATCATTTCCTTTTTACTGGAGTTATGCTCCAATAAGGAATTTTATTAAGGCAAAGTAATCAAAATGTTCTTGGAACTTGTTATATATTTTTTTCCACATCTTAATAAATATTGGGAAAAGGTGAAGATGATAATGAAGATGGTAAAAGTTAGAAAAACATTTCATATACAACTGAGTTAAATGACAAAAATATTTATTAAAGAAATGATGTTTGGTAAGATGTTGAAGATACCTATTAAAATCCTAAATAGGTAAAAAAAGAAAAAAAGAAATGATATGCCAAGGTGAGAGACCTGTAAATTCATATAAAATTCTAAATGATCTTATCAATTTTAAGCTATCATTAATACTGCCCCCAAACACTGCATTATAATTAAGAACTATTTTTGCCATAGATAACATATTTCCTTAAGAGCACTCTTCGAGATTTTTACTAAGGTTACTAAGCACAAAAATACAGCAATCTATAAAGAATCTACACGTGAAATACTTACATGGAAACAAATTAAACTCCTGGTAAATTGAAGAGTAATCAAGTAGCAGAATGACCTAAGTGAATGAATTATTTATTAGGAGTCCACGCTTTGAGATCAAACCTAAGCCAACTTCTTCATCATCCTTGGGCAATTCCTTCCAGCTTTCTGTTCCTTGTGCATAAATGTAAATGTTCATACCAAGTATTCTGCAGGGTAATTCATGTAAATTAAATTGTAATTTAAAATTTAAATGGTACTGCATTTGCAATGCAATCTGGAACATATATTTGGATAGAATACTCTCTTGCAGGATCTAAGAAGTGTTACAGACCTCATTGCATTCATTTTTAAGTATTCCCTGTAAAGTGCCAACGTCCATGTGAAACCTCACCCTCTATACACGGTTAGCTGCTAGATCACCATTGTCACTTTCTCAAATTTAAATACAGGAAAACTTTTTCCTCAGGGCCTAAAGCAGGGTTATCAAAGCAAAGTATAAATTTGGTATAATTTTTAGAATAACATTTCTTGAAAGAAAGAGCAAGAACAATACATTATTGTCTCCATCCTCATAGTGTCTAAAATAATGCCAGGTCTGATATTTTTAAGTTATGAAGTGCAAACCAAGTACATCTAGGGAATAAACATTTTTACTATCTGCTTGAAATATTTATCATGTAATGCTGAAGATAATTTTATGAGACAGGTTTTATTATAGACACAGGCCCAGCCTCTGTGGTTTAGTGAGTAGTATACTGTACTTCTGACACTGGAAGCCACAAGGCTAGTTGGTTCAGATCCCCAGCTGGGTGGATCTGAAACACTCCAGACATGGGCATGTGTGCTCAGGATCTCGATGGGCTGAAGTACAGGGGAAGGGGACCACAGCAGGACCAGACTCTGCTGGGAGGTGTATCTTTTCTCCCCTTCTTTGTCTTTCTCTCTTCAGTGCATTTGCATGTGTTACTATTAATTAAAAAAAATAAACTGGAGAAAATTTGAAGCTCAAGAAACGTATAATCAGGCGCTAGTAATGATGTCCCCAACTTTCTCTGCCATTTTCTGTCTGTGTTCTTTTTGTTATACCAGTGGTTCTCCAGTGTGGCTCTCCAAGTGCGGTTCCACAATGGGCACCACCAGCATTGCTTGGAGCTTTTTTTCCTAAAGGTATTCTGGATCTGGTTTTAAAGACTGATAGGTAATGCTGCAGAAACTCTGGAGGAACAACACAGCAATGTGTCACTGCACATCTGTAGGAAAAGTGCGAGGATCTAAATGCTTAGAAATTTAAAAATAAAATATAGCTGATTACAAGACGCAGGGGAATCTAGAAAATGCACGGTCATAACATATTAACAAAGTTTTTGTAGCAAAGTTTCTACTCAGTCTTGTTGGAAAGAATGGAATTATTTCATAACAGAGAAGTATCAGTGGTATTTATTGGTTACATAGATAATGGCTTTTATCTTCCTAAGGTACATGACTTAAAATTCTGAAAGACGGGATTCTAACCTACTTTGTTTCATTACTGATAATTATGCTCATTTCTGAAGTCTCTCAATATACATTATTGTAGCAAAACACCTACTTAGGCATTCTAGAGATGATTATTTTGAATTAGTCAATTTTGTCACTAATCGTTCTCCATTCTTCTTCTTGATTATCAAACATGGCTGATATTGCTGATAACAGCATCCTCTCTGAGCACTGTCAGAGGCTATCATACTCTACTCTTAAAATCATTGGAATAAATATCACACGCAGCAAATTCATTCTACTTCAACTGTGTATCATTATTCAAACTATGCCAATGGCTACATATGTGATATCAACTCAGTCTTTTATTCACTAATGGATTCTTGTATTTAAGTCACATAAGCCTCTTCATAAAATGATTCCCTTAGAAATCTCCCCAATATAACCACTACTATCTATTAATAGAAATGCCTAAATCAGTGCTTAGTCCCACATAGATTTCCATAGCTGAGGAAGGCAATGACTGCTATTAACATGTCGGTTATATTCTAGCAACTGCATTGATACTTCAAAGAAAACTTAATGGAAACGTTTGATGTAGAAAAAGCATTTAACTTATTAAAGGACCAGCTGCCATCTTCTAAGTACATAGTCATAATATTATAAAGTAAAGTACAAAAATTAGTCACCTATTTCACTAGTCTAGAATCTAGTCCTGGCAAATTAAGCTGATGAAGTCAGGATTTAAATTCCGTATGCCTCTAGATCTCACTGTTTCCAGTTTCTCCCCCTCTAGATCTCACTGTTTCCAGTTTCTCCCCCTCTAGATCTCACTGTTTCCAGTTTCTCCCCCTCTATCTCTCACTATAATTACTTATCTTCCTGAATATACCAGCCTGACAATGTCACCTTCTTGTTTTATGAGAATCAATGATCCCAAGTGCCTACAAAATAAATTCTGAACCTTTTAGCTAATGCCCCTCCATAAGCTCTTTAGCTTCTTTCTTATCCTGAAGAACTAATACGTTCTTCTGAGAGAAACTCATGCCTGTTCTTTCTGGCCCAGTTTCATCTTCTGTCACGATTCCCCACCTGCTATGTGCACAACCCTTCAGGTGCAATGCTTTCATATTCTCATGCATTTAATGCCTCATGCTGCTTATCGTACATCTAATGTTCTTTCTCTCCTTTCCCCCGGTGTGTTCCACCTCAGGACCCCAGTTAAATATCACAGGATGACCCCACTCTTGGAAGAGTTTGCTCATACCTTCAGACTGTTTTTTTCTCTCTCTCTCTCTCTTTTTTTGGAGAGTTTTTTTGCTATAGGGCATGTGCACTTGCCAGAAAAACAGAGAGAGACAGAGAGACAGAAAGTGAGAAATCACCCCCCCAGAAGGGATGGCCACACTGCAATCCCTTCTTCTCTATTCTCTTCTCAGAATCTTGGACATGCATGCACACGTGCCTGGTGTGAGTTTAAGCCACCGGGTCTGGGACATGAACTGCAGCCGACTACATGGGAGTCCAGCAACATAGCTATTACGCTAACTGCTGGTCCCCTCAGACTGGTTTTT